GAGGCCCCTGTGAGTCCAGCTTTGCACTAACCCATTCAGGCCAACACTGGAGAAGTGCCTCAGGCTTCACGCAGCCTCATTGCATCTCGCATCCTAAGCTGGGGTAAAGCCCTGCACAGCGCATCCTGCCTCAGCCCTGCAGTGTCAATGGGAGCCCACCAGCTCCCAGTATAAATTCACTGCCACCCCCAAGGCGGCATCGCACAGCTCAAGTCAGTGTCTTTAATATCTCCCTACCATCAGCCTCCTATTTGTAGGAGAAACTCAGCCAAAGGATTTTAACCTCAGTGAATCCTAAACCAGGACTTTGGGAAGGGCTTGGGCTACCTCCACAGGTGCCTGCATCCTGCTAACAGTGTCTGACATCAGACAGGGAGAACGCACCACCATGCCCACAGGTCCCTCTGCCAGTGCTGAGTCTTGCAGGTGACACCTGAGATTTAGCCCGACCTGTGCTCATCCCATTCCAGCACCCATCCTATACCTGTACCCACCCTGACCCTGCCTATCAGCTGTCAGCCCCTCCTTATCTAGAAGTTTGACCCAAAATTAATAAGATGTGACCCTAGTCACTCCTACCCCTGGCACCCACCTCACCCTGTCCCTCTGGGTCTCACTCAAGAAACAAATATTAGTGTACATGACCTCCCCTCACCCTGTCTTTACTGTCCCCACTTCCCCTGTCTGCTCCACCCCATAAGGGTATTCAGGGCTTCAGTGCCTAAATAACCACACCGAGCTGGCCAGTATCTTGGATCCCAGCAGCCACAAAAGCAATCAAGGCAAAAAGCAGAGCAAGGAGAAAGGTGGGAGAGAGGCCACAGGGATGGTGCTGTGCACGGTGCACACGTGGCACAGATCCAGCACAGCCCTCCTGCCGCCACATCCTACCCTCACAGTAATTAAGGGAGCTAAAATAAACAGGAATGGTTTCATCCCTGCGGGGATAATTCCTCTTCCAGGGGTGGTGTGTGCCTGCAGGGCTGCCCCGGAGGTTGGGGATGAGGCAGCCAAAGCCAGCGGGTTGGAAATGGAAATTTCCCAGGAAGGAAGGAAATCGCTCCTTTCTGGGGCGTAACCAGCCCTCGCCCTCCAACAACTGTATTTGCTGCTGTTGTATCCCTAAATAGCTCCTTGAAGCAGCTGCTGGGAGTTTACATCTCCTTCACCTCTGCTCCCCTCCTCGTCTTGGGAAATGGGCTTGTGCAGCCTCAATATCCAGAGCAACTCACCCAAATCTCCAGTCCCGTGCAGCCACCCTGCCCCAGCACGGCCCTCCAGCCAGTGGCAAGGCTGTGGGGAGCACAGAGCCCCAAGAAGGTTCGGTGTCTTAATGCTGGGAGTGGAAACCATGAGTTTCTGGTGGGTCTGGAGCCAAGGATGTGCCTGGGGTCCTTTCAGAAAAGGAGGAAGGTTGTACCAGTAGTTACCTGAGTGTAGCAGAGCTGGCAAACCCACTCCAGTGACTCCAAAGGTTGGTACTCCAACCTGTTCACCATCCCCACCTGGGGCTGGATCCCGTGAGAAGAGCACTTGAGGTATGAGAAGATGTGCCCAGCAGAGCGGTGAGGGGAGGGTACGCGCAGGGGCCGATGCCTGTGCTGAGCCAAAGCGCTGAAGTCAGCGCTCTCCAGAGCCATCTGTTCCCGGTGAAGCCCCGGCGCAGACGGACTCGCCCCGGCTCCCGGGAGCCGATGCCGCAATTCGGTGATTCATGCGGCGAGGGGACGGCGTAAAACCGGACACCGCCTCTGCGGCCGCGCTAACTCCAGGGACGGGACTGGAAAATTGTTTATTAGCCACGCCATTGAAAAGCTTTTTCAACCATTTTTATCTGGTCGCGTGAGCTGGCTCCTAAACAGCAGCACAGCTCTTCGCTGCCAGGCCAGAGATCTGACTCAAACTGTTTTTTCCCTTATTCCAGGGAGCAGGTAACCTCCTGCTTCACATGCTCTAAATGCTCATTTGAAAAGGCCAAGTTCAGCAAGCAGCCTAATAGCAAAACCAGCGAGAGCCTCTGCACCTGTCTCCCAGGTTTAATTGCAAACTGCAGCATCAATGGGAGCTTCTGGGGTGTCTCAGACCTGGTTCGTCCCTGGATTACCCCAAACTGCCCAGCAGCCCCTGCAAGGCAGGAGCCCCAAAGCAGAGAACAGCACATCTCTGGAGACTGGAGAAACTGAGGCACAGCAGCACAACGCAGCAGCAGGAGGTTACAAAGACCCAACTGAACAGCACTTACTGGGCATCAACCCCACACTGTGACGAGCTCTCTCTGCTCTGTACCCAGCCTGGCTGCCTTTCAGGGCAACCCATGAGACAGCAAGGGAAGCAGGGAGCTGCGGGAAGGGACCCGAGCAGCCTTGTCTGGCCGGTCTCAAGGCCAACCCTCAGCAGATGCTCATCTCCACCAGCTTTTTGCAGTCTCATTGAAGCTAAGCTGAGCCATAACTCATGGGAGAGGTCCACATTAAGAGCTGGCAGTGACAACTTTTCAGGCCTCTTTCTGAGAGCAGACAGCTGTCACTCACGACATCACCTTCCCAGCCCCTTACCTGCTGCAGAAAAACACTGGGACTTTCTTCTCTTCCAGCGTCTCGGGACAGAGGAGGGCAAAGGGGTGGCTGTGCCGCCACACCCCTGAGACCACCACCGTGGGGACATACCTGGAGCAAACACAAGGTTAACCATACCTAAAGGCAGAACCCGAATGTGAACAGGAGTGTGCGAGGGTCCCCCAGCCTGCTCAGAGCCCGGGCTGCGGGGGCAGCAGGAGAGCTGGGTCACCCGCCCTGTCCCCCATCCCCTGGGGTGCCGGGTCACCTCTCCATCCTCGCTCAGCCCCTTTGCTCCCCGTTACCGGCCTCCCAGCGCCACCTAACGACACGGCAACCGGGGACAAGGACCTTTGCGGGGAAGGCGGACGCCTCCCGGTCCCCGGAGAGGAGGGAGAGCGCTGACAGCGATGGGAGGCAGGCGGCAGCAGGACCCCCGGCTGGGGCTTGGGGACGCGGGCAGCTGAGGAAGGGGGAGCTGGAGATATCGAATACGGATTTACATAATCGTAATGATCCTTCCTCTGCCCATGAGGCTCAGTCCTTCATCCCTGCCCTTCGCTGACCTTGATTGTCCCATGATTTTCTCACAGCCCAGCATTAACCCCAGGGCCTTGGTCAAGTTCTCAGTTGAGCAAGGACACTGGGGTCAGCAAAGAAAGACACTCCCCTTAATCTATTACCGCAGCGCCAAAGCTACCCAAAAGAATCACCAGCTTGAGAACAGCTGTTTGCCCTGCTCAGCGCAAGCACCGGGGCCCATATCATGGCTAAAAAAGCACCCTGACACCAACATTCAAGGTGATGTGGAAGAAAACGCTGGGGAAAAGCCAGCTCCTCTCTCCCCGATACCTGCAACAACCCCTTCACCATCACGTTTCTGGCTGGGCTGTCTACCAAAACTGCTGCTCCCTGGCCTGAGCACAAAGCCCTCGTCTCCACAGCCCCCTTTCCAAAGCACTTAATTCACCTCCGAACCCAGCGCTGATGTAATCTCCCACTCAAGAGTTCAGCATCAGGACTGCATCAGCCTCGAGACACAAGGAGAGCCACATCACACGAGCAGCTGTTCGACAAAAGCTTTATTGCTCGTTTGCGTACGAGTTCCCAGTATCACATTTCCTGAGTTTCTTAATGAGCTTGCAAATGAGATTTTAAAAAAGGAAAGGGGAGAAAAAATAAAAGAAAAAAAAAAGAGAGAAGTCAAAGCTCTCCCTTCCCTAAGGCTGGGCCAGAGATATGCTGGGCAAGTTCTCTACCACGGGAGAGGACTCAGCTGAGACAGAGGTTGACCGTAGACCTGAGATGAACCCCTGCTGGCTGCCCTGTCTCGATTTACCCTCTGCCTCCATCATGAAGCCTAATTTGTTTCTAACGCACAGCCACCAGCCACTGCCATTGTCACCATTCAGACAGGTCAGAGAGGAGCAGTTCAGACAGGTCAGAGCGGAGCGGCTGCAATCCAGCAGCACTGCCGAAGGCAGGGGAGGGGGCCACGCTGACCCAGCCCCCGCGCCACAGATAGAGAGGAGATTATGGCTCATGGCTTGTAATCTGACTTAAAACCTGACACCGTCACCATAGTCAATCTGGGCTAAGAGAAGCATTTAATAAGCTTCAAAACACACAGACCAAGAGGAAAAATCAACCCCAAACCCACCAAAACCCACCAGTGAATGAAGTGAAAAGGCTCAAGACATTGCTCGCATCAGTCAGTGCTGACAGGTACCAACGAACACAGGGTCCCTCGTGATCCGGAACAAGGCAATTACACGCTTGTTATCCCAGTCCACCCCACAAGCTAGAATCCAGGCTCCACCAGGCTTTAACCATGGGAGGCAGAAAGCAAATTAATGCTTTTTTCTGCCTGTTTAGAGCTCTCAACAAGCAGAGAGCCAATGGTCCCTCCCTGCACAAAAGGAGCTCCCTTGCCCCGGGACACTTCGCAGTAGATGCGGCGCTCGGCTGGCTGCTCCGAGATTAAGGCAGTCACAAAGAAGCCAGGCTTAAGCGGCAGGTCTAATTTGGCTTTCCTGGAAGGGTTTATTTAAAAAACAATTATTATTAAAAGAAACCCACTCAGGCACGAATGACAAGGCAATGACATTTGGCTCAAGGCTTAAAGGGAAGGCAGCAAGACACAAAGTTTCTCTGTGTGACTTGCCATGGGGAAAGTGCCCAGCCAGGGCTCCTGCACATCTGCCCTCACCTGCACCAGCCAACTCCTTAGTGCTTAAAGGACACAAGTGACAACAACCATCTCCAGGGCTGGCAGCCAGCTGCAGAGATGTGGGGCCTCAGATGTCTTGAGAGTTCACACCCAAGTGTCACACACTTCCACAAAACAGCCACCAGCCCCGGGCACAAGCCTTGCGCTCCCGGGCCCTGTCTGTAACCTGCTGGCATCACCAGCTGGACCAGCGTCACATTCCCATCGCTGCTGCTTTAGTGCCCAATCAGCTGCAGCATCTCCTGAAGATCCACAATCTTCTCCCGGGGTTTGCCAGCAGCTTTGCCTCTTGCCACTTCAGCGGCGTCGATCTTCTCCCAGTCCGAGAAGGAAACAGGACGGACCCCTGGGGTGATGGTGAGAGATGGGAGAGAGAAGTCAACCAAGTGAAAATGAGTTCAGACTCACCTGCCCGCTAGCAGGGACCTGATGTGCCACCAAACCCTGCCCATTTCCAGCATGGCGTCACACCTCAGCCTCACAAAGGAATAATAATTTCTAACACTGCGAGGAGAGGGATGGCAGGTTCCAGTCGACTCAGATAAGTCAGACCTTTGTGAGCTGTAACAACGGTGAGCACAGAATCACCTTGGGGGACAAAATGCTTCCAATTCACTGTTAAACCTCAGACAGTTAAAAGGCAGAACACACACACTTTAATTGAATGCCTTTAAACACAGCAACAGCAAATTACTCTCCCGGGCATTTTAATCTTCCTCCCAACTTGCCTAGAGGGATTGCTAGGAAAACCACTCCAGAGCAATAGCTCGCTGTCTAGGCAGCTGACAGTGACATTTTAACCAAGGTCCATGCTGCTTTTAATGGCCCTTCCCAGAAAGTGGTCATTAACTTAGCAACGACATCAAGTTTGAGGGAATTCAGATCCTGCTTTCCCTGTGCTTTGGAGCAATGAAACGGCAGCACGAGATGTTTCCTTGGTTCAGCCTCTGCTCCCAGAAAAGGGCTCGCAGAACTCACTGCCCCAGGACCCCCCGATCCAGGATCTTGGCTGCATCCCCCCTTCATGCTGGCTGCTACAGCCACTGACCTCGGCTGCGCAGGATGCTCTCCACAGCACCAAAGCCTTCTCTGGAGGTGGACGTGTCCAGCGCGCCCACCTGAAGATCCTCCAGCACTGACTGGGCAGTGTCAAAGCTGTCATTCATGGTGGTGATGATCACGCCCGTGGGTCCTCTCTTCACCCAGCCACTGCAGTACAGACCTGCACGGGCACACAGAGCACAAGGCTCAGGCCAGCACGTGCCCATGGACCCTGCTGGCTCCAAGTCTTTGCCCTGTCCCCGAGTGACAGATCCAGCTGTAGTCAGTGGAAT